AAAAAAAAAAAAAAAAAAAAAAAAAAGAACTAACTTGCTAAAGTTGTCCTCTGAGCCCACGATGCTTTAGTAGGCATGCACACCCATCCACACATACCATACATGAAAACACACTATAAGACTAGAGCCAGTGCTCTAAGTGCACTGCATCAGTTAAAAACAACCCAGCATCTATGACAAAGCTGATTCCTTTTCAAAAGGGGATGAGACAAGCTGCTTGCACTAAGCCCTGGGAACAAGCTTCTTTCGCTTTCCCAAGAAAGAGCACCATGGGCCACAGTGACTTCAACAGCCTGGGGGCTTCTACATATAGTCGAGCTCTGTGGACGTGAGAACACATCCAACCTGAAGCCAACTATAATGACTCCTTTTGGACATTTACTCAGAAACCACATGCTCGGGTTGGTTTCTACACTGCCCTTCCCTGAAGAGCCAGCCAGTCAAAAAGCAGTTTCCGTTTTCCTTCCAAGACAGTAAGCTTATCTCTTAGCACCATCCAGTGGCTTGTTTGAGAACTGCAAGCATACAGACAGGAACTACAAAGCAAGATGTGGAGCAGATAGGACGAAGGAGTGTTCAAACCTTCTCTGCCCTCTGGTGCAACGTTCAGGTGCTCCTTACAGACAAATAGAGAAGACATACCTAGACTTTTCCCTAGATTATTCTACTGTTCTCTTGGGGCTGGAGAGATAGCTCAGTGCCTTGGAGCATTTCTTGCTCTCAGAGAGGACCAGGGTTTGGTTCCAAGCACTCACATCACCATCTCACATCCATTATTGCCAGGCTCTCAACCATCCATACCTCCAGTTCCTGGGAATACGATGACCTCTCCTGACCTCCGCCCACACCACACAAACTGTAATAAAACAAGCAAGCAAAACACCCATACACATAAAATATAAATAAAAATAACTGGGACTGGAGAGATGGCTCAGTGGTTAAGAGCACTGGCTACTCTGCTCTTCCGGCGGTCCTGAGTTCAGTTTCTGGCAACCACATGGTGGCTCACAACCATCTATAATGAGATCTAGTGCCCTCTTCTGGCCTGCAGGCATGCATGCAGGCAGAACACTAGATACATAATAAATCTTTAAAATAAATAAATAAAATGAAAATGAAAATAATTATTCTCTTTTTCCAGAAAAGGTTTCTCTAGCACCAATCTGTTACTCAGGTCTCCAGCCACCCTAAGTCCTGCTCTCTGAGACTGACTGAAGTCCCACAGCAGGTAATACTATCTATCTGCCTTTATCACTACTGGTAAATTTCTTCCTGGATTCAAAGTTCTTTGAAAACAAGACCCTAATGCTGATAATTCTCAACAGAATTCTCCATGCCCTTTGTCCCCAGACTGCAGCCCCAACCCTGCTGGCTG